ACTCCAGCTCCAGCACAGCCCTTACAATTCTTAGAAAACAGACACAAAAAACGCTTCATGTCACTGTCCAATGCCAAGGACGGTGTGCTTACTCAATTACCAGAGGTCAAAATACGCATGGTCTCCCTCAGAACTCTCCTGCCATTGCTGATTGTTGGGCGAGTTAATATTGTGCGTGAGAAAACATGATTGCGCTTTAAGACATAGACAGAGGAAGAACACCACAGAGCGCTTACTTTCAACTGATTTAATTTAGGAGCCTCAGCGTAGATACACACTGCGTCACCGCACCACATCTCAACCAATCCGTGGCCCCGCCGCGGACCGCAAATACACGATCTCTTTTTCTGCAAAGTCGATTGAAACCACGCATGACTGCAGGTGCAAACCATTATTTGCTTCTTCCACTGTTCTCGCTAGGAACAAAGATGAGACTGTTAGAGAGATAATTGAGGCGGACGCCATCAATAGTTCCGGCACGTGTTGTGCACGTGTTTTTTTCTGGCACCCCTGAGGACCACCCGAAAAGGAGGTTAACCTTTCTGATTTGTGCTGAGCTTTGAAAACTAAATTTACACCGAACCTCTCTGCCACTGATATAAAGTTATGAGAGATTCCAACCTAGTAAGGCACACACACAACATTCTTTACAACCGGTTTTTTCCGCAGGAGCCGGATTGAACGTACGTTCCTTACACCTTGAGCACAACTGTAACAATTTCATCCTGCTGTAATTGTTAAAATGGTTGTGAACGAAAATTGAGCTTGGCAGAATGTATTGTCGGTTTTTATCTAGAAATGCCTGACAGGAGTGGAGCAACAGTCCATCGTCACTCAGAAACTCTGAGCAATTGATTGAATAATTGAATTCGCATCATGGGAGAAGGTGCGATGTGACAACTGTAGACATCAAGAACTTATGTTACTTTATGGATAAGTCGGAGCTGTTAATAAGGGTCAGGAGGTGGTGTGATGATAATCTAGTGAAGTTGCAGTCTGCCACTGGGGTTGATGTAGATAGTTTTATCAGCATTCTGGAGTTTCATTTAGAGTCCACTGCCGTAGACTTTGATGGTTCTCTTTTTATTCAAAAACAGGGTGTGTGTATCGGGTCGTGAATTGTTCCAATGTTGTCCGAGATTTTTTTTTAAAACGAGACTTATGTACACGTTGACACGGTTGTGCGGTCCTTGTCGCTTGGACTGCACAACCCTGTCATCGCAACAGTCGAATTAAGCACTTATAGACCTACTGTTGCACACGGAAACGGGCCTGTGCTGGAGGTACGGCAAGGAATCAGCCAAGCCTCTGCTGGCAGCTGACAGCTGTCACTTGAAAATAGCTAAGAGTGGTGTAATTCCGTCTGCGATGGATAACGCCTGTAAAGAATCCCGTATGTTTTGGGTTGGTGAGGCAGTTGAGTTGCAAAAGATGCGTCGTCTGGAAGCGGGCCATCACCACAATGTAATTGTTAGAGTTGTGCTCAAGGCGCTGAAGGTTTAATCCGGCTCCTGTGGAAAAATCGGTTGTGAAGAATGTTGTGTGTGTGCCTTACTACCATGGAATCTCTCATAACTTTATATCAGTGGCAAATAGGTTCGGTGTAAATTTAGTTTTCAAAGCTCAGCACAAATTAGAAAGGTCAAACCATTTCTGGTGTTCTTCAGGGGCGCCAGAAAAGCATAAGAACCCAAATGTAACTTTTCAGGCAGGAGTGGTGTACGGGACCCTCTCAATTCGTCGAAACTCGTTTCGTGGAATTACGTATCGCAGACAACTTTTCATGAGCACACGTTTCATGGACACACGTTTTGTCGACACGATCGTTTCATCGACACTCGTTAAGCGAATTGAACGCTGTAGGGACATCTCGTCACGCGCGTATCATTAGTAAGGGTTCTGATGGAGTTGCCTGTTATCGCATGTGGCTGGTCAGTCATCAAGCGGGGTCGTCTGGGTGGCAGGTTGGTGTGACCATGAATCATTTGGATCTGTCTGAGTGTCCGGCTTTCAGTGACCTACACTCTAAAAAAAAAGGGGTGTATTCTTACACCTTTTGTCCCCTATAAGACACCCCAAAACCTCAGACGTCGATCTGACGGTACTACCTTTCACGAGAGGCTTCATAGCCGTGTGGTACAACTTTTGAACATAGCTAATGTACGTGTTACTGACTACAAAAAAGTAATCCAGGTTTTCTTGGCCCTACTGCAAAACCTCAGTGTTTTCTTTCTGTGGTCTTTGATACGGGCTTTAGCTATTTAATCAGTTATATCGCTCCGTTATCAAGCCCCTTGTAAAATGTATGGCTGTCTATGCGCTGTGCGTCAAGCTAAAGTTTTGGGGTGCGTTATATGGGACAAAAGGGTGTATGGTGATACCCTTTTTTTTAAAGAGTTCTTTTTTGGTGGTGAGGATCTTGACGTATATATAAGAGCGTTCCTTGTTCAAATAAACTATACCCGTTTTTTCAAGAAAAAAAGAAAGTTTCGAGCATTTATTTATTTATTTATTAAAGTACCCTCAGGGCCCGAAGGCATTACAGAGGGGGAGAGCACATACATAAAACAAATATGTTCGTATACGGGACGCAAAGTCTTACGAGATTTGGATGTAGGAGAAAAAAGCGATAATTTTGGCGCTGGAACGTGTACGTCTTGATAACATATATAGTAGAACCAAGCTACATATATCTTAATTCTCCACATAAAGGTGGAAATTAGTAATGGTTCGCAAGGAGTCGGACTCTTTTTACTAAAGTTCTTGACGTGAAAACGGGTATAAAAGCTGTGTTTAAGACTTGTTGTCTTTTGCGTTATTTATATCGTTCGTGTCTCCCGTTAGTATGGAAGTTCTTCACCAGCTCGCCTGTGTTTTTAAAGTGCTATAACGGACTGAACGGTTTTGTAGACCGTAAAACGATTTAACGAAAACTTTGTGAAATAATTTGATAAGAGGGCTATATTCGCGTCCGTTTTCAGGCTTCTTTCAGACGTATTTTATTTTGATCCACACGCCTGGCTTGTTCGCGTCACATCGTGTTTCTAAGGGTTCTTCTTTCTTGTTTCCACGCGGGGACCCAGCATCGGGGGTCGAAGTCGAGCTCCCATCCGGTCGAGTCGGGGAGGCTCTCCTTACGGGTCTTTGCCGCCAGCGTATTTGCTTACACTCCCGAGCTCAAAATCCTTGCGCCCTCGCACACTCGCACATTTTGTTAATGCTGTCATGATCCTCTGTCTAGCCATCGTGGAGGGCGGCGTCGGCGTGACGCGCTTGTAATCGGAGGATCTGCTGCGGTGCAGGGCGAGTTGGTTGGAATCGACGTCAATCGCTGCAAATTGTTCGTAAAAAAAAAAAAAAAAAGAAAAAAGCTATCGTGCGGCAGCTTGGCGGCAATCCGGTGTGCCTTGCGGGGTAAACCTGGAAATTGTGTAGGTTTGATTGTTCACGTTGGTGATAAGTGTCCGTGGAAAAGCAGGCCAAGTTTCGAGTAGGAAGGCCGTTCGTGTACCATACCCTGTCCCTGACGCTGTATGGAGCTGGTCGATGTTTTGCATCGTAGGAACGCTTCATGCCGTGAAGGTAAGCGAGGTTCGCGTTTGCAGCGTCGCAGTTCACGCGGACGTCGCCGACCTCGTCGGGAAGCGGGGAAAATTCCATTGGTCGACGTGGGACAAAGTTGAACAGGAGTTCGAACGGTGATGTCTGGAGTGCGGCTGCTGGTTCACTCGAAAGCATGTTGCCTGAAGATAATCGCTCCAATGGTCGATGTCGCCGTTTACGTTCTTTCGCGCAGACATGGAAGGATTTTTCCGTTGGCGCGTTCGACAAAGTTGTTAGCTTCGGGAGCGTAAGGTACTGTTAGGGATGCTCTGAATGGGCCTGTCGGCGAAGTACCGCGAAGCCGAACGAGAGGTTAGGACCCTGTCGTTGTCGGTGATGACGGCTTGCGGCGTACCGAATGAGTACGAGTTCTGTAAATCGGAGGACGTGCTCGGTCGACTTGTTAGGCATGGGGCGTGCGACAAGCGCGTGGTGAGGCGGAACGCGGTGATAAAATACCTGTTGCCGTCGGTCCTCGTCTTGCGAAGGACCTTGCGCCGCGGCTGCCAGCCGGCGACATATTCTCTTACAAATGAGAATAAACAAGGCTAACGGACGCACTCTTCACAGCGAAAGCAATGTATACCTCTCCATAAAAAAAAATGAAACAAAAAATTGTGTTCCTTTTTATGGTTATTTCCATCTTGCTTTTCAAATTCAAACGACTCTTTTCTCTCTCCCCCTCACTTTCTAATTTACACCCCCCCCCCCCTCCCCTCCCTCTTCCGCGCCACGCCGCCGCCGATCCGTTGATCCCCGCGCCGTCAACACGCCGCCGCCGGAGGTTCAAACACCGGCGCGCCGCCGCCGGCGATTTCTGACCGGCGCACAGGTCTAGACATGACTAGGAAAATGTTTTGATCCTTGCGATGCGAATTAGAATGATTACTGGGCGTGATACTGCTGTATGTATGTTTAGTTGTTCCTACTTTCATTATTTCATTACTCTTAGAACATAGTTGATAAAACTACATCTGTGTTCTTTTTTACTCATGTGTCACGCGGCAAGTGAGAGCTATTTGTTTTTGCTGTTAGCGCGTATTTTCCTCAGCTGATGTTTTTATCTGGCAGGTACCTGGAATGCGAGTAACCAATCTTATTCAGGGCTTGCTTTTGTTTGAGTGTGTTTTCCTGCATGCTTGCATTGCTTCTTTTTTTTTTTTTTTTTTTTTGCGGGGGGGGGGGGGGGTACATATGCTTGAGTTATTTCTACACTCGTGCATATGTAACCCGAAATAAATAAATAAACAAATAACTAGCACACCAAACCTTGAGCTACTTTTGAAAGGCTTGGGATCAGATCATCATCAGAGCCTTTTGGATGCATCTACCCAACGACTGGACAGATAATGCCCGGAGGCGCTAAATCGGGCGGCGGCGTGCTCCATCTGGCGGGCTCACATGCAGGCGCCGTGGTCGAAGTGAAAGCCCGTGGAGCACTGTAGTTCGGTGTGGCGGCAAACGCAGGCGCAGCGTCTCCCGTCCCACACCTGCAGCTCGGTGCAGTTGGGCGCCATCCAGGTGTTGGGGCAGACGCAGCGACACAACTCTTCCCGGTACACCTGACTGCCGCTGCAGTGGTGCGGACGCACCTGGATTGAAAGGGGTGAAGCAACAATGTTCGTGCTTTCAGCGAATACCACTTAGAATTATTCCCTCGACATTCATAACCTACGAAACTCACATTCATTTTTTTTTTCTCCAGGCAATAACAATAAGAAAAAAACTTTTTATTTTTTTATTTTTTTTTAATTTGCAGTCAGAACAAGCGGTTACGTGGTCTGGAGCCAGTTATGTGCCGCAAGCGTTTATCATAGCAGCGCACTGGGGTTGACAAAGCACAAGGGACGCGCTGAGTTCCACACATTAAACGGGTGGTGCAAAAATATTTGTACTTTCAGTAAATAAATACCGCTTCGAATTAGTCCTTGATCATTCGTAACCTACAAAACTTGCGTTAAAGTTTTCCTCACGCAATCGCAGTCGAAGAAGAAAATAAAATAAAAAAAAGAGCACCGTTTAGATTCTCAACTCGCAGCCAGAAAACCTGGTCTGAAGCCGATTATATGCCGCCAACGTTTATCATAGCCAAGGGTTTCCCCAGGAATTGAAATTAAGAGGTGTAACTATATTTTTAGTGGGAGCGTTGGGGAGAGGGGGGGGGGGCATTGAGAATAGAGGTCGTTGCGAATTAGGGGCCCGAATGCCTTTAGAAAAACAAAGGAGGGTTTACACCCTTTCTAGGGGTGTGTAAGGAAATCATTGATCATAGCCACGCGCTGGCGTTAGAAAGCACGAGCCTTAACTCACTTTCACGGCTTCATTTTGTGACCGCCAGGCACTATAAATATCTGAGGTCGGATTCACGAAACGATCTTGCGCCAAAAAATATACATACGACAAAACGTAAAAACAAATTCGTATTCACGAAACGAAATTGTCCCAAGTTTTGCGCAGGCTACGATGGAACCCTAGTCCTACGACTCGGGGAGCTCGGCAAAATATAAGCCTGGCAAGGCACTCCGACCTGCTCCGACGCAGCGTTTCTCCGATGGTCTCTGGCCAAGACCGTCTGCCCACGAAAGTACACGGTAAAGCATGTGCGCATGTGCAGCTCCTACAGCAGCGCCACCGCAGTGGTGTTTTCTTCTGGCTCGTGTTTTAGCGGATTCGACACCTCCCGTTGCCGCAGGTACGACCCTCCCCGGGACTCCTTTACCTTGCACTCGCAGTGGCAGCTGACGTGCTCCACGAGGCGAACCTTCTTGAAGCCCTCGAAGTTGATGGCGTTGGACTTGTTCGACGCCAGTCGGAGGGAGAACACCTGCGCGGGACACCCGACGATGGACATGCGCAACACGCGAGGAGACCTACAAGTCTACTGTCACTGGCAGGATGATTATGGCGGGGAGTCTCCTCGGATGTCCAACGTCCAGCACATGCTCGCTGCCTTCCGTTGTGCTTCGATTGTGCGTGCACGCTCGAGGTGATAACGAGACGCCGACTTTGTCATTCTCACCCCGTCGGTGACTGATACGCTAGGTCAACTATTCGGTTGTCGAATTTTTCTGACGATACCTTAAGGCGGACAGTTGTCATAATGCACCGAAGTTCCCTCTGGATTTGGTGGGAAAACTGTCGGCCGAGGCCCGGCCGCTCACAGCTTCCCATAGTCCTTCTCAGTCACGTGTCATGACGTCACAGACCTCGCTATATTTGGGAGCAATAAACCATTTCAGACACGTCTTCATTAATACAAATAATGAAATCCATAAAAAGTGAAAGCCGTTTACAACTCCCTGTAACGCCGAATTGGAGCGCAGCTCTTGAGGAGGAGGGAAGGATACTGAAGGTGGGGTAGACTCCTCCTCCTTCTCCTTCCCTCATTCTTTAATATGCTCCGGGGGGGTCACCTGACCTCAGGGGAGGTGGTCACGTGACCTCGGGGGGGGGGGGGGGGGGGGTCACGTGACCTCGCGGTTACGCCGACGCCGCTCAAGCCGGAAACGGGCGCCTAAGAGCTGCGCTCCAAAATTTAATTCGTATCGTCCTTCTGGTGCTTTTTATTCTTTAGTGCTTGCTTTCAGCTTTACTTCAGTTGCTTTGTGCATTATCAACTAGCACAATTCGTACAAAAAATGAAGGGGAGGGGGGATTGTAGACACTTCAACTACCGCTGTCTCCTCCTCACTTCATGTCAAACAAACCAGTAAAAAAGGAAAAAAGTGCTGCTTCTATCTATCGTGTGACACGGAAAAGTCCGTTATCTCGGCCGTTTGCTGCAGCCGGATCTATACAGCCAGTTCCCAAAGTTCCTTTCGGCGCCGCGGAGAGCATGTTACGCGTTTTGCAACAGGTCTACTATCAATGACCATCGCCGGGCGTCGATTACCTGCCGGGTGACGCGGCGCACGGCCAGCGGCCTGCATCCGAGCAGGTGGTGGCCGCAGCATCCAGCGCAGCGGTCCACGTCCGTGCAGGTCGGGTAATGCAGGGCCTCCGGGTCCCTGGGCTGGGGCACGCGCACAGGCACGGCCCGGGGACTGCACGCAGCACGCTTGTCCAGGCGCAGGGAACTCCCTGCGCCGGACGGACGGAGCCCCGAGCGGATGCATAAACATACTACGGCGTAACATACTCGAGGCCATCAGCACCGGATCACGAGAAAATGCACTTCTGAAATGTCCCGCCTGCATCTCCTGGCACCACACATAGTTCAGCGGACGTCCTCAAATTTTAACGTGAAACAGGATTTCGTGAAGCCGGGTGAAGTTTCCCCGCTAGATTTAGCGGGAAAATTGACGTCACGTGATATACACATAAATTCAGTTGGAAAATGATGTCACATGACGTCAAGTCACGTGACTGACACGCAAATTCAGTTTCCCCGCTAAATTTAGACGGAAGAATGACGTCACATGGCTTCGTGTCTCGTAACCTTATAAGGTCACTGGACAGTGACTTTAACATAACCTATACACAAATTCAGTTTCCCCGCTAAATTCAGCGGGGAAATTGACGTCACGTGACCTCTACACAAAATCAGTTTCCCTGCTAGATTTAGCGGGAAAATTGACGTCGCGTGACCTCAACGACGATTTAATTTTCCCGCCAAACTTAGCGGGAAGTATGACGTGCCATGACCTGAACACTAATTCAGTTTCCCCGCTAAATTTAGCGGGAAAAATGACGTCACACGGCTTCGTGTCACGTAACCACATGACATAAACCTCGGGACTGCAGGCAAAAAACGGCGGAAACACTAAAAGGTCTCGGGACCTTTTAGTGGTCGTGTTATTTTTTGCCTGCAGTCACGGGGTTTATGTCATATTTAATCTAAACCAGCTCGTTTGCGCTTTTGCATTCACTTCATTAACCTATACACAAATTTACTCAATTTCTCCGCTAAATTTAGCGGAGAAATTGACGTTATGTGACCAGTTCAGCTTCCCCGCCAAATTCAGCGGGAAATTCACATTACGTGACACCGGCCGCATATCGGTGCAGCCACGAGGTGCAGCTTAGAGCACTGCACGGGCCGAAATTTCTAGGCCCGGGCCGACCCGGCCCTGTAGAAACACTGCCCGGTCCCAGCCCGTCATTTTTTTTTTTTTTTTTTTTCTTTTTTTTAATATGAGCTTGAGTCTGACCGATTATAAACATGAGCCCGCAGAGATTCGCAGGCTTGAACCTAAAGAACTGTCCAAGCATAAAACGCGCACTCTCCTACTATGCTGGTGGAGCCCATACGTTTTCTTTTATCCACTTGAAAACTTTTAAAATGCAAAACGTATTTCTTTTTTTCTTTTTTTTAATTGCGCCGTGGCGATTTTGCAGTTCGCTTGTTTGTTTTCACTGAGCCTAAAATATCGATGAGCACACTTTTAGTTATGAGCAATTTAGAATTTGCGGCACACGATTGCTAAGAGCTGCCCGGGCTGGCACGGCCCGAAAAAGGTTTTTTTCGGGTGCAACAATTTTTGTACTTTGCGCTAATACCGCTTAAAATGGATCCCTAATTACCTATGAAACACGCGTTCGTTTTCCACCCCACGCAATAGAAGTCCCAGAAAAAAAATAATGAAGAACGAGCAACATTGGTGGTGTGGGAACCATTGGGTTCCCTCTATCCCTATCTAGGCCTAGCTTCAAGCAGGCCGTGGGAGTCGTCGTCACCAATGGCGTCGGCCTCCCGGATACAAGGAACCACGAGGCCGAATTCCCCGAAGGGGCCGGTTCTCCCTTGCCCTTTTGGGTGAACGCGCCATCGGCACACCCTTGGGAGTGATTATGGACGCGTCCCGTTTTCGAGTGACCTTCTACCGGCCTCCCCGGGCGCGTCTATTTCCCGCAGGCTACATAAGCCGGCCACCCACCTGTGGCCGGGGCTCTTGGTTAGGGGGGGCTACGCTCGACGGAGTATTCATCGTTATTTTACTGCTGCCCCTTCTCCGTGATCCTCCCAGTTCCGGCAGCGCGGACCTTTCTCCTGGTGATCCTGTCAATTAAGGCAGCGCCAACCTCATTTCTCTTTTGTTCCGCCTACGGGCGCAAAGCGTGTGGCGTAAGCCCAATAAACACGTTTCTACGGTATCCCTGTGTTTGGTGTGGTCTCCCGTCCACCGGAGCCTAACGGCAGTCAACGGACGGACCCGGCCGTAGCCGCCATAGCAGCGAACTACGGAGTGGGTGTTGCCTCACAGCGATCAGCAAGGTAAGTCGAAACCTACTTTATTGCATCCGACGAGTTACGGAGTGGGTATTTGCCTCACTGAGGACTTTGGGGTAAACTAGAATCCCACATCTGGCGCCCCAACGTGCGGCCCGTCCGGCGTCTGCAAACAAAGCAGCACGTTCGCAATGACAGCGAACCAGGCCAATTTCCGGCCTTGGACTTCGTGGACGGAGGGAGAGGCGAACGCCCGAAACCCGACGCCACCCAACGGCTTAGTGGCCAGGTCAGCCACGCACGGACACAATGCAGTGTCTTTTGAGCCGAGCTCGCTTCTAAGCGGAGGCGACCCAACATGTCCGGAATGCGCCCGAGGCATCCCCCTCCGCGACACTCCAGCCCACTCTGCTGAGCGAAGCGCACCTGCGCTTGTCGAGGTCAACCCCGCGCTCGCACAAAGCGCGGCGACGAAACAGGCAAATACAGCCTCGTACTGCGATGACCTTCTGACCACGGACTGGCCTGCAGCTTCCCCACAAACGGAAGACACTGCCGCCGTCTGTGAGCAATGGCCCAGCTCAGCGGCTTTATGCGCCACCGGGACCGACGGCTGCGCGGGGTCCTGCCCGCCCTTCGACTTCGGGACCCGCGCGGCGACGGACAACACTCTGTCCAGGGGCCGGCTGTTCCCGTCCAAAGGGCTCCACGAACCACCTCCACGACGGTGAGCGAACGCCGGGAACGTCGCAACAGACCGTATTTGTGAACCCCGGCATGTGGGGGTAGGCACCGGACGCGGTCGTTTTTTTTTAGTTCTTTTTGTTTTTAAGAGCCGGTAGGACATTTTGTTTTATTCAAGTCCTACCTAAGCCTTAAGAAGGGGGGAGTGTGGGAACCATTGGGTTCCCTCTATCCCTATCTAGGCCTAGCTTCAAGCAGGCCGTGGGAGTCGTCGTCACCAATGGCGTCGGCCTCCCGGATACAAGGAACCACGAGGCCGAATTCCCCGAAGGGGCCAGTTCTCCCTTGCCCTTTTGGGTGAACGCGCCATCGGCACACCCTTGGGAGTGATTATGGACGCGTCCCGTTTTCGAGTGACCTTCTACCGGCCTCCCCGGGCGCGTCTATTTCCCGCAGGCTACATAAGCCGGCCACCCACCTGTGGCCGGGGCTCTTGGTTAGGGGGGGCTACGCTCGACGGAGTATTCATCGTTATTTTACTGCTCCCCCTTCTCCGTGATCCTGCCAGTTCCGGCAGCGCGGACCTTTCTCCTGGTGATCCTGTCAATTAAGGCAGCGCCAACCTCATTTCTCTTTTGTTCCGCCTACGGGCGCAAAGCGTGTGGCGTAAGCCCAATAAACACGTTTCTACGGTATCCCTGTGTTTGGTGTGGTCTCCCGTCCACCGGAGCCTAACGGCAGTCAACGGACGGACCCGGCCGTAGCCGCCATAGCAGCGAACTACGGAGTGGGTGTTGCCTCACAGCGATCAGCAAGGTAAGTCGAAACCTACTTTATTGCATCCGACGAGTTACGGAGTGGGTATTTGCCTCACTGAGGACTTTGGGGTAAACTAGAATCCCACAGTGGCTATGCCGCCAATGTTGATCATAGCCACGCGCTGGGGTTGGCAAAGCGCAGGACACGCGCTGAGTTTCAGACATTGTTATGGCTCGGCTGCTGTTGCAGCGATTGAACACGGGTGCGGGACCCGAATGCTTCTCGAGCTAGCAATTATCACGAACCCAAGTCGAGTGCCCACGCAATGCTCGGGTCCAATCTATGAACCGCATTCAAATATCGTCACTTGGGTGTACCGCGATCCCCATGTTACGTCATCAAATTTTGCAAAGGAGAGATTGAATGAAAATTATCGCTTTTGTCCTTGAAATTACACCGCAACAAAGAAGTTTCTTGGCCAGTGGCGTTGCGTGTGAGCATCCTTGAGTCCCAGGTGTGCCAGTAAGCTCGTGTCAAGTGAAAAACATTCCAATTGAATATCGTTGCACCGCTCCCTTAAGCCCGGCCCAGGCCCGAGAAAATCCGTGCTACCCGGCCCCGGGCTCGTTTGGGTCGTGTCTTCGGGCACGTCCGGACGTTCCATGGTTACCCTGTGAGTCTTCATGGGACATCTGCACCACCTCAGTACGTTCAGAGCTAAAAAGCGAAGAGCTCGAGCAGTGGAGGCCCTTCTTCGGGTGCTCCGGAGCAGAAAAGACGAATCAGCAGCCTGTTCTATTATGCCACAGAACTAACCTACGGATCTTCCCCCGTCTGTAACACGCCCAATCGCCCTGGTTCTCTCCAACATACTAATTTGTTTACTCCCTTAAAAATAAGCCGGCCCTTTGGCTAACACCGTGTTAGCCCTGGGGTGTTACACGAACACCCTAAGGGTATTACAGCAACACCCTTGGGGTGTAAAGAGAACACCCGAAAAAGGGGGTGCTTGCCACCTTGGCAGCATCCTACAGATATTTTTTACGCGCACCAAGTTTACAAACAAGCACCACATACAGTTCTCACGTACACAGAAACGGCAAACACGGATGTTATGGGTCGCGTACGAGAGAGGAATCATGACTCTGGTGACAATTCGAAGACACACATCCGCAGGTGCGCACCTCCACCATTACGAAGATCACACTATGTTGCTCTGTTCTCGTCAACATATCGCGATGATTCGAAATATATCTAAGTTCAAGGAATGTACCTCCAATAGAAAGCATTATTAGAAGCAAAAATTATTCGAGATTGTCGCTAAAATAACCTCGCTAAAGTGGGTGTCAGTTTCGCGAACACCCTTCAAAAGGGGTGTTCGACTCAGAAGATGAGAAAAACAATTAAGCGCAAAGCACATACGCGAAAAATCCATCCGATATCCGACGTCCGATCTGGCAATACGACT